AGCCCCGCCCCTCACCCAGCTTGTGCAGACCCCCCCCCCAGGCCCAGCCCCTCACCCAGCTTGTCCAGGGCAAACTGCACCACGTGCTCGGGAGCCTCAGAGGAGGCCATGTCCGCCGCAATGTAGAAGACCTTGGGTGCGCCCAGCTTCCGGCAGTTCCCTACCACCTGGGGGGGGGGAAGAGCTGCCCGTGGGCCTCTCCTCCCTCCTCAGGTGTCTCCCCTCCACCAGATGGCCACATCAAGGATCCTACCTGAAGCCCCACCCCTGCCAGAGTCCCACTCAACTTCCTTCTCAACTAGCCCAAGGAGGAGAACGCAAGGGGGTTTATTTAAGCAAATGCCAGCATTGGGAAACACAGGAGATTTACATCGGTCGAGATTTCTTGCTTAGGGAGAAGCAAGCATAAGAGGTGGCTAAAAGGTGTCTATCCCCTCCCCACCTTTTGAGTTGGAGAACCCTAACAGCACCGGCTGGAATACTAGGAGTATTCCCAATAACCAAGGACCGTTCGGAGCCATCTGCCCAAGCCCCACAGCCTATAGGAAGGTTCTTGAAAGTGCCCAGCAAATGAAGAAACAGGCTCAAAGAAGTCAGGGGACTTTACCCAAAGTCACACAGGAAGCCTGGCTCAATGCAGGGATTGGAGCCCATCTTCCTTTGACCTCCCAAGCCCCCATCAAACAAAGCGACATGACGTGGCTCACCTTCTGCAGGAGGGCCTCGGTGGGGGCGGTGAGCACCAGGTGTGAGCCCAGGCGGGCGTAGTGATAGGCCAGCTCCTCGCCCACGCCGGCGCTGGCCCCCGTCAGCAGCACGCGGGCTCCCCGAAGGCTGGCTGGCACGGAGCAGGGGTGGTCAGCCTGAGGAGCTGCGCAGGATTCTGGAAAATCCCCGGGCTCCTCCCTCCCTCCCCGCGGACATTAACTTACTGGGGTCGAAGTTGTCATCCCAGTAGTAGGCGAAGAGCAGGGCCCCCAGCCCCGTGAAGAGCAACACCTTCATTACCCCTGTGGGTGTGTGGATGGATGGACAGATGGACGGGAGGGTGGGTGGACAGACAGGCGGACACGCAGGTTGGTGGGGGGGGGGATAGTTTGAAGCTGGTATGCAGGATCGAACCCCTCGTAGCCCCTCACCTCGACTTCCCCTCTGGACAAAGGGGCATTGAACCCATTTGCACGCTGGTTCCGCGCACTCACCCACTCGGGCCTCGGTTTCCCCCGCTGTCCTCCGGGACTAGAACCCACACGAGCGCTTTCCCTTGGGCCTCCCTTCCCCCCCCACCCCCGCCGAAGCGCGGGGCCAGACCACCGGCCGCGCCCCCTCCCGGCGGGTCCGAGTCACGTGACTCCGAGACCCCGCCCCAGAGGCGGGGCCGAGTCGCGAAGATACGCGCTCGGGCGTTGCCAGGCAACGGCTTCCTCCACGTTCCCACCCATCAGCCCCAAACCACGCCTACTCCATCGGAGACCACGCCCTCTACGTGTCACGTGCCGACAGACCCGCCTCTCTGGAACAATCCCGCCCTCGCGTTGTCGTGACAACTGCCTTCTAGCCTTGCTCTTCCAAGTCCGGGTCCTTGGGCCCTCGCGCGGGCGCGAGTGGATCTACCATCTTTCTGTGTCTCCATCAGGATTCACGCCGTACCTCCGACACCTCTTCCCCCTCCTTCGTTCACAGACCGGCTGCACTACATTTCCCAGCAGGCTCAGCGGCCTATCCCATTGGTGACTGCATTTCCCCGACAGCTTTGCGGCGGCTGGCCGACTTTTCTGAATTTCCCAGAAGCCTCTGGTGGTGGGAAGCCCAGAGCGTGAAAGAGACTTCAGCTCCCAGAGGCCTTTGTGTTCAACCCGATAGACTACATCCCCCAGAGGCCTCTGCGGCGCCGCCACCGGAAGCGGCGGGCGAGTGGAGTGTCCTTGCGCGCGGAGCCGAGCGACCATGGTGGCCCGAATGTGGTCGCTGATGAGGTGCGTGCGGCGCGGGGCGGGAGACCCCGGGCCACCCCCCTGCTGCAGGCACCCACCGCCCTCTCGGGTGTGGTCTCCAGCTGCTCTTCGCTTCCCGGGGAGGCCGCCCGGTCCCGGGGCCGCCGATCGCCTCCCCACGAGCCCTCGGTCCGCTGCGCCCGAGCCGCCGGGGCCTCCCCTGCCTCGTCTGTAACCTGGAAATGCGCCGCGAATCCTGCCGGTCGCGCGTATCCGGAGGTCACTGTGCGCCCCGAGCAGAGGGTGACGTGCAAGAAGCTCCCGGGGACCTTTAGAAAAGCCCCTGGAAAGCTTCTAGAAGGCCCAGAGTCTTAAATGTCCACTGTCATCATCTCCTCTGTGCTGGGCCTCGGGTGACCCACTGCCCCTTTTCTGGCCTCAGTTTACCAGCTCAAGTGGCCTCCAGGATCCCTGCCCTGCTCAGTGGAAGAGCAGTACTGTGTGTAATAGGGGTGAGGCAACTCTGGCCTCTTTGGGTGCCGTTTACCCATTAGACACCGGGCCGTGTGGGTGTCACTGCACTGGGAACCCCCCACAGCCTCCCAGAGGGTCAAACCTTGCCGGGGATGCCAGCAGTGTCCCAGTGTCCCTCCTTCCTCCTGGCAGGTTCCTCATCAAAGGCAGTGTGGCTGGGGGTGCCATCTACCTAGTCTACGACCATGAACTTCTGGGACCCAGTGACAAAAGCGAGGCCGCACTGAGGAGGGCTGAGGAGGTGGTGCCTCCCGCCATGTACCAGTTCAGCCAGTATGTGTGCCAGCAGACCGGCCTGCAGTTACCGCAGGTAATCGGGTGGGAGAGTGAGGGCCAGGCTTGGCAGGAGGTCAGCTCAGTGGTGGCCTTGGGTCCCTTCAGCCTGGTTGACCTCCTGTCCTAAAGGTTATTGGGCCGCTCACCCTTCCCGATTCACCTGTCCCTGTGCTCCTCTTTCTTCCCAGCTCCCAGACCCTCCAAAGATTAACTTTCCCATCCGAGAGTCCTGGAATTCAGGTAGGCCCCAGCCGCCTTCTTGGGGATGACCAGATGACCCAGCCCAGATGCTCTCCTTGAATTCCTTGCCTTTCCTTTCCACGAATCCCTGTTCCTGCTGCTTGTGTGTCTCCCGTGGAAGGGTGTGTGGGGATTACCAGGCCAAGGCACTGTGGCGCCTCCTTGTAGGGCTCAGCTGTGTGTTGGGAGTTAAAACCAGAAGGTAATGGGGGGGAGTCACAGCTGAGCTGCTCCTGTGGGCAAGGCTCGTCCCATTGCTGCCTCAGTTTCTCTGCTGGAAGTTGTGCCTGTGAGCTTCTGTAGGGGGCTGACCAAGAAGGAGGTAGGGGTCTCACCAGACATCTGGGCCTTCCCTGCAGGCATCGTCAAGGTGATGTCTGCCCTGTCGGTGGCCCCCACCAAGGCTGTCAACTACTCCAAAGAGGGCTGGGAGTATGTGAAGGAGCACACCAAGTAGCCCTATCAGCAGATACCGCCCACCTCGGCTGAACAAGGACACAAACACCTCAGGCTCAAGACCCCACAATCGGGACCTCAGTCAGAGCAGCTTCCAGCTTCGCTGGCCCAATAAAGGACTTTGGAAGTGTTCCCCGACCCTGTGCTGGCCCAGGGGGGGAAGGGCGTGGGTTGGCCCCATGGGACCCAGCTTGACCCTGGCCAGAGGCTGCTGTTTGCCCTCTGCTCTCTTCTCTGGTCTGTGCCACTTGCAGGGGGCGGGGGAGGGAGAGTCCCAGCAGACTTGGTTACTAGTGGGCTCAGGGAAAGCATGTCCATTTTGAGGCCACTGGCACTAGCCCGCTCTCAGGGCTGATGATGTCCTCAGGTAGTAGCAGTGAGGGTTGGGGGACAGGCTTGGGAATAGAGCTGAGCTGGAGAGGGCTCCCATTTCCTAGGAGTTTGGGGGCTTATCTGGCTCTGTGGGGCGGATGCGGGAAGGAGACAGATGATACAGATGAGGTGGATGGAGGCTAGGCAGCTCCCCAGCAGCCATCTCCAAACCCACACGAGAGGGGCAACAGCGGCTGCAGCCAGCACCTGTGCTCCACCGTCTCCCGCGTGCTCTCCACGGTCACCTGCCTGGAGGTGGCTCACCTTACTGGCCCTTGATGGGTGTAGACAAGGAGCATGCCTGCCCTCTGGCACTGGAGGACCGAGGCACCTAGCTCTAGCCCGGCCTGATGCCTGTTCAGAGGCCTTAGGCAGCCCTGAGGAGCCAATCCCTCCGCCCGGCTCTTGGAACTTCTGATGGGTCTCTGCTCGTGTGTGGGGAGGCAGGCCACCCGCTCCCGGCGCACCTGTTGCAAGGCCTGCAGTTGCGATGGGTATTTGGCAGGACAGTGCCAGTTGGCTGTTTTTGTGGATCCTCTACAATATCCAGGCAAGCTGACATAGCCACAGCCGGTACCAGGTAGGGGGTTAGGGAAGAGGCCCAGGCCCCTGGCACAGCAGGCCAGGCCTGGCACAGTGTCATCCATACAGCTGGAAGTGGTGCTCAGAAGACTATGCCAATGGCCAGCTGGGCAAAGGGGTGACATGGGGACTGGACTATAAAAGATAGGGTGGTGTGATGAGTGACACCCAGTGTGAGTCCGCTGCTCATGGCAGCTGTGTTGTGCTCCACCCTTGGGAGGGTGACCTAAGGCATGGACTGACGGCAGAAGCAGGGGTGACCGGAAGACCTATGAAGTCGTAGGTCTGGGTGTGGGCTGAAGCCAGCACATACAGGCAGATGGCTTGTATTTCTCCCACGTCCACGAAGAGCAGGCCACTTCATTAGGTCTGAAAGAACCAGCAGCCCGGGCTGAGTGTCCCATCATCTGCCCCAACCATGCTTGTTGTCCAGTGGTTGGGGCAGGTGGGAGGAGACCTGCTCTGGGGCCAAGCATTTGTGCAGTGGCCCACAGTGACCCAATGCAGCCCACTGGCCCTCTGTCCGCTGTGACGGCCCAGGTCTGAGGGAGTTCCTGGGGCTGCTGAGGGGTGGGAAGGGCTGCCTGCCTGATGGACGGGAGGGCGCTGGTGGAGGGCTGGGCCTGAGCGTGCTGCCGGCACAGCAGAATAGGCAGCGTCTGGCCGTGGTACACTGAAGAGCTTGGCTTGTTCTTAAAGCTGCTTCGGAAGCCCAGGGCTCGGCAGGCCGGGGCCCTCACAGCTTCCGTCCTACTGGCTGGGGGGCTGCGTGCAGCCCCCCCCCCCCCACGTTTCATGTCGGTGTCCTCAGTCACCAGTGGGCAGACACGGCAGGGCCACAAGCCAGCGTGGTGCACGGTGTCTGTAGACTTTTAAATAAGACGACGTGGACACTGCCGGCTCCCATGGCCCTCTCCCTGCAGCCAGCCATGCCTGCCTGTGGCCACAGGGTGGCTGACGGAGAGAGGACTTGCCAAGTAAGGGGATGTGAACAGAAACACCTTTATTACAAAAAAACCGAAGAACAAAAACAAACATTCACATTGTATTGAGCTACAATATGGCAGCAGATAAAAAAAATTATTTGTACACGGTGTCTGGAGGGAATCCTAGGAGAACATACTCTGGACAGGGTGGGCGCGGGCAGGAAGTGCTCAGTAGCGGCGGGTGAAGCGGGCATCGCTGGGTCTGCTCCCCCGGCTCTGTCCCCCGAAGCCGCCCTGCATCCCTCCACGTGGGATCACATGGCCCCGGGAGGCCCTGCCGGGGGCAAAGCCACCACGCCTGGACACAGGGCAACAATCAGACTCCTTCCTCCTGAGGCAGCCCGCCCAGCCCTTAGCGTGCAGTTCCACTCCAAGGAGGCTACGCAGCACAGAAAGGATCCTACTCACTCTGACATGCCGCCCCGGTTCATCAGGTGGCCAGGTCCCGAGTGACCGGACATGCTCCTCTCACCGCCTATGAGGCAAGGCAGCACACGCTCAGCAACTCAGTCCTCAGGGGTGTGGGTCTGATGCAGGGGGCGCACAGGGAGCTGCAGCACCATGGCAGCCCCTGCCACGGGGGACTTGGGAGAGCCAGGCAGCCATCTGGCACCAGGCCACATCCTCACTGGGTCCACCAGGGGAGCAGGCTCTGAAGCACCCTATGTCCACCCAGGTAGCAGTGAGTGTCCCCCCAAGAGTCCAGCTGAGGCCAAGTTGGAGCTGGTGCTGAGATCAGGGCTCACCTTGCCACCGCTTGTGATCGCGGTCCATCATGCCGCCTTCAGCTGCTCCCTGCCACACACGGTCATCCTCCAGTCTCCGGCCATGCTCCCC